ATGAAACTGGGTTAGACGTCCTACATTTTTGGCACTGAGCTAAGGAAATGAAATGAAATGGGGTATAACGTCCTACTGTTCTGACTGAGCTAAGCAGATTTGAAATGAAATGAGGTTAAACGCCTTACCTTAGTGTACCAACCCAGCAAATGAAGACGGTTTTACGTAGTGTGCTACGAAATATACATTGTCAGGTCAGCGGCGTTTCCGCCTACTCTTAGTCGCATTCTGTCAAGTGTTCTCTTACGTACACGCCACACTGCGAAAAGAACCTCGATTTTCGCACCTTCCTACCGACAAGATGTTGTTTCTTGTCATGTCCATCGCCCTAACACAGAGATCGAACTCGGAATCCCCTGGTTAATGTGCAAGCGCCTTACTAACTGAGCCACCTGGGCTCATGTGAGTTAAGAAAGACAGACACACACCATGCAGTTGTCTATGAGAGAACGTTTGCCCAGACAGCGATGCCACGACCTACACTTATAAACTTTGATGTCCAATTGTCAGGGGGTATTTAACGTGCGCCAAATGGTTTACATGGGATCTCTCTTTTTATTTTCAGTCCTTGAAAAACTAGGCTCGACAATCCCGGGAGAACCTTTTGGCCAACACCGGGATCGAACCTCTGGACATCTTGGTTAGTTGTTTCAATGATCATTAGTAATTGAACTGGAATATACAGGTCACAATTCTATGGAATACAACATACTGCTTATTACTGAGAGACGTTAAAGACTAGAGAATCGTAGTTGAAACGTCGCTCAGTAACAAACAGTAATTGTATTTCATAGAATTGCGATCAGTATAATCAAGGTTAGTAAAACGACGTCATATTCACCGAGTCACCGAGGCTACACTAATAAAAATAATTGAAAGACAATTTGGTCATTTTTTTCCCCTCACATTGTTTGTTCTATGATAGTAATAGAGAAATAAATATAGAGAAACGATTGTAGTATCATTATCAATCCTAATATATGACAAGACAATAACATTAATCATATGTAATTACAATCTTACAAATTTTGAGAATAGGTGGAGTACCGACTAAAGACAAATAAGCATTATATTGTTTATATTTATTATGGAAGATTCCGGGTAATTAATAATCTATTGATTCTGTTGCGTTATTTATTTATGTACAATATTAAGGGTGGGTGGGTCAGTCGGCTAATTATAACCATTAATAAGTAGGATTCTAACTATATCAATGAATCACTGGACCTAATGAATTATATAAGTAGAAAATAATTACTTATCATTGTCTATTGTCAATTACTTTATTCAGGGTGTAGCCTCGTCTTATTTGAGGATAGCATCCATAAGGATGGACTTTTCGGAAAAAATAATAAATTAGAGAAATAAGTGATCAATATTTTATGTTGCGTTTGTTGTTTTTTCTCATGCATATACTACAAGTACACGAAACTTTCACAGAAATTGATTTAAAAAACTGGTCTAATTTTATTATTTTTCCAATCCAAGTTTTTCCAAGTTAAAATCTAATGCAGTGTGAATATCAACGTTCAGGTGGCGTTGTCGTTCATTGAGTGGCGTGAAATGGATTTAAGCCGGAACAGGGCAAGGTGCTATCTTTGAAATTATCAAGTAATAAGCTACTCTATTCAAATACATTATAATTGAACTGAAACGGCGGTTAAATGTGTACATTAGATTACGATATACGACTTGAAGTTTTGATAAAAATAGCGTTGCGATAATAAAGTAAGTCTCTATTATCCATTTTTATAATGAAGTAGCGGGGGCTTTAACGCAATATCATCCACAGGCTTCGACATTGAAAACACGAAATATTTGTCAGTTTAAATCAACATTGGTGTTGTGATCTTACCGGGAAAAGATGGGCTTCTGATATCCAATATTTATAATAAAATAAACATGTAACCATTGGTAGACGAATGGTGTACCAGAATGCGCTTCAGTGCCATTTGTAACGCGGGACTTGAAGAACAAGGCTAGACATATTCCACAAGTCATGGCTAAATCTATAGGCCAGCTCAATTTTTGTCAAGGTCACTGAGAGGTAAATAAGCTTAGGGCACGTAATTGTTGGTGAGATTGTAGGTTAGGGTTAGGGTTGGGATTAACGCTAGCCCTGTTTACATCTCGTGACCTATGATGAAAAATTGAGCTGGCCTTATCATTTAGCACTAACCACAAGTCATGTCTGTAAAGCATGCGCAATAAATACTACCGATGTAGACTGGAATAACCAGACGCCAGAGATTGCCATTCGATTGAGTCTTCTCGCGTAATTCGCCGAACATAACTGATTTGCAATTAAGAGTAAAAACGGAAAGATTGAATGTAAATCAGTTTATATATATACATTCATATTACATTATTACATGTGTTGCGACCCATTTGTGTCAATTTGTAGGTGCCAAATATTGGTGATTTAGCTCCTTTAAAGTATTGAATGGCGATCGTGTTTCAATCAATTAAAAATCACGACCATCCGATGATATAGAGACTTGGTTATGTGCTTGTCATAAGAATAAATGTCTAATTAACATGTCTATAACAAAGACCTGGAAAAGGCAGGCTTAGCTCTTACGTAGTGCATCTTTATGTCTAAATTCCCATATCTTTAAACATACAATATATTTTTGGTTTTATTTAATCTTGATATAGATTGTATATGATCACTGTCTGTGATTTCATGGTCATTAAAGTTATTCCAAGAAAGCGGGTAGAAAAGTCATCCAACGAACGAGATGCATTTTCAATGATTGTAATTACTGTCTGAATCTCGTTGTATCGTGTTCACAAGAAGGAAGATTAAATCATATTATTGTTTTATCGCGTGGACAATATTGGGTTTGATTAAAAAAGAAAAGAAGAAAACACAAATGAGGAAAAAAAACCCAACAATTCCCGATGGTCTCCACGAATTATAAATCTGACCATGACAATGATGGGCTTAGTCTTACCTCTTCTAATTTATTTAATAATTTCACAAATGGAGAGTCTCGAGCACAAGTGATCTAACTACAAAAATCCCATTTTTAGAAATAGCAAATTGACCTCAAAGTCTAAACCATGTGCATTTCACACCACCATTGGTACCCAATTCAAATTATTACTGAATATTATATACGTGGATGGCTATCTTTGTTTATGTGCCCACATCAATCTGAATTTCATGAAAAAAGCTACAGGCTTTTAAATTTCAGATAGATCGCTGGAACCGAAGCAAATTATCCTACTTAGATTAATTGTCACAAATCCATTTTGTCATGTATTGGTCACTGTATTTAGTAAAAAAAAAACAAACAAAAACACCATTCATTGCTGTCTGGCTCAGCAGTTAACTTTCATGAATAGAAATAATCAACAGGTGATGTTTTCATGTCTCAAATCAAGCAGAGTTTATTTTGATCAACTCAAATGTTTCTCATGCTGAAGTTTAGTGAAGTTGTAGTTGTGCAGATTTAAGGTAGACAGAACAGGAGTAAGATGAATGGACCAAGTGGTTAAAATGGAAAGTATAAAGTGTGTAGGATGGGAATAAGATGGGAGTCAGGGTGATGTGTGAGTGGGGGAGATTACGGTCAGGGGGTGTAGGGCGACTGAGGGAGTGTTATATGTTTGGTTCTGGTATAAATGGGTAATGTTGGTAGTTGATAAGAAAGGTTGAAAGAACATGGATGACAGAAGGTGCGGAAGGGATTATAAGAGGGGGGAAGTGATAAGATGGGGTTGTGTGGAATTGTCCTGGCGGCTGAGGGTAGGGGTGATGATCAGTGATCAGTTGATGTGTAAGGGTGCAGAAAGGAATGCAAATACTTGGCAGACTTAAATAATATAGCATACACGTACCAGGTGGATTAACAAACTAACAATGTTTTTATTTGTGCCAAGGAATCATATTGCCATTTTAACTCAAATTAATGTATGACCAAGGGGGATAGATTACTATATATATTATCATACACCCACATTTTCATGTGGACGTATTATGTAGTTGCCCCGGTCCGTATGTGTCCGTCTGTCCGTTCGTCCATTCAAATTTTGTTTGTGGACCCTCTACAGGTCATACTTTTTGTCTGCTTTTGACGAACCTTTAAATATGACTTTATATCCCAAAGATCGCGGTTCCTTTCGATATTGGCATGTATGGGATCGTAACTTCGTGGATTATGGCCCCCTCTACTTAAATGTAGTCAAAGATCACAGTTCCTTTCGATGTTGCCACATATCGGATCGTAACTGCCATTCTCAACATTGAGAAGACATGCAGTTGGCCCAACTACAGATAGATCACAATATACCACATTGCTACATTCAGGTCATGAAATTTTTAATCATCCGCCCTGGCATTAATAATTCCGCTACACATCAGATCCTTTGACACGAAACAGATTATGGGTCAAAGAATATGGCCAACTGCAGAGTTCAAAATATGGCAATTGGTAGTTAGATCACTTTTGCCCTAGACCCTCCATATATAGCTGGCTTTCTTACCAGAAAATACCCCCAGGAGCAAAAGCAGGTACTAAGAGTTACGTTATTCAGCTCTAATTATTATATTACACTAAAACGCACAGCGGACAAAAATATAAAATTCTATCTTTTAATTAAAAACTGAATTTTCATGACACTCCAGCAAGATTCATTATTATGGCCCAAACTTATTGAGATCAACAACTTGTTGGCTGTGAAAGTCCCGGCGATTTTCTGGCCTGGTTTCCCCATGTCAGTAGAACAGGCCGGGTAAAACGGGTGGGGGGGCTTGGTAAGGAACTGGGTCTAATCGATCGGATGGGAAGGAAAGCACACAAAAACCCTTGCCATTCGGAATTCGAATTAAGAGTAAGCCGTAGCGTCGCTGACTGGGTTAAATTTCCCTCATAGCACACTACAGGAGCAGAAAAGTAGGACTTTACACTCCCATTTGATTTCATTTCTCTTTGAGTGTATGAGTGTAAGAGCTTAAAAAATTATTAAACAAAAAAAGAAAATGACAAATATAATTTCCATAGCACATATTTATTGCTAAATCCCAAACTTAATATAAATAACAATTCACATAACAGAATAATTCTAATACAACATTATCTATATTATGTGGTATGTTTTAATACTTCTAATAATATTATTATAATTCCCCTAGCTGCCTCATCACAATTAAAAACACGTTGTTATAAATAATCATCATCTCTACTGTAGCACAGTTTGTTAGGTTTCAAACTTAAACCAGACATTAATTTGATATTAACTATAATCGCCTTGTTATATCTACTGCGAATCGTTCTCCTCCGATTCGGAATTCGTCGTATGTTTAGAAAAGTCTAATGCTTCGTTACAATCGGAACTATCCTCATCTTCGTGTAAGTCTATTTTTTGTTTTTCGGTTTCGCGTTCGTTTTCGACGGACACAACATCCAAACTATCATCTTCGTCGTCGTCATCTTCATCATCTGTTTCTGGGAGCTGTTCAACAAAAAACCCTATTGGTTGTGTGATCGGGAACAGTGGCATCATGCCTATGCCGATGGGGCCCAAAGATTTACATGCCTGGACGCGGGGATACTTCGAATTCGGTCGTCTACCGCGAGGAACTTTCGATTTTTCTAACAAACTAGCAATACTGTAAGGACTTTTGGAGTTATTTTCTTCACCTGCGATGTGGTGTCGCGATTCGTTATTTACAAACACGGCATGATTGGTTTCATTGTCGCTTGATCCACCCGATAAGGCGCTACTTAATCTTGATAAGTTCGAATCGAGTCCGTTAACAGAATGCTTATCGCCAAACAGACGTCTTTTTTCTTCCAGTCGTCGCATTCTTTCTTCTTGTTTTCTTTGTTTTTTAAGCATTCGCTCTTCTTCTCGCCTTCTGACCTCGTCAGCGTCCATAGGACTACCGCTGCACGTGTTAGGTTGAGCGTTGTGAGCGGGGCGTCCGGGTCCCTTCTTTGTGTTTTCCTTCTTTCTCCATTTTGCTCGTCGATTTTGGAACCAGACCTGGTAAAATGAAAGAAAACAGAAAATATTTATAACATTACACTTGTAATCTGTGGTTTAAATTATCTGTTAAATATTATTTGTAACATCAAACACAAAATGAAATTTATCCTCGGATAAATCAATCCAAAGATCAACCCTATTGGCCAGATCAGTTAAACGGTCATGTGTTTGTTATTATTTCGTTGTTAATATAAACAACGCCATTTCTAGAGTAAATTAAGCAATCAAAGAACACAATATGATATGTCATGCAGAGCTCAAGTAACACCTTGAGATTTAAGATAAATAGTCTGATCGAATGAAACATAGGAACAATAATTTCTATCTCATTTAGCAATATTTTTCTTCCATTTTAAGCGGCATCTTTAAGCACGTACGACACATGTTGTGATGCGCCGTGCACGCGGCATGCACCACTGGTGTTCTCATTGATCGTCGTTTAAGAAAAATGACAGATCGGATGTACATTTCAATTCCACTTGTATTGAATTTGCGACTCAATTAACGTTAAAAAGAAGCCTTTATGTCGAAGATTGACGTACAAGCGGAATAGCCGTGAGAAACCAATTAAATAATTACTCATTTGATACTACAAGTAAATTGATTTGTCATTTTGTTATTTCGAGTTTGGTCAGAATTAATATGTTCTTATTTGAAGGTTTTCCTCTCTCACACTTCTTGACCAATGCAATAGAAATAGAATAGATATTTACTAATTAAGAAACCATTATTATCTGTCTGGACATCAATATTGCTATTATTATGGTATCACGCTTAACATTTTGCGCGCAAGTTCGATGTATGCAAAGGGAATAACCAAGTAATTAAAGCGTTATATAAAATTTCAATTTTCGAGCTTTAAAATAAATCCTGTATTTTGATTTTTTTTTAAATTTGATTATACATACACAATCTTTAAGGAAAACTTCATTTCTGTAACATTATGAAAATTAGATTATTCGACTGGCATTTATACGATTTGTTTCAATACTTAATATTCGTCCGTTTTGTTATTTTTAATATGACATCTGATTATAATTTGACTTGTGAAAATATCATATCCAATTTTATCCGAACAGGACATTCTTTGTTTTCATTTCACCATAAAATATCAATAATTCAAAAGGCTGTGTTGTTTTTCTCTAGTAATAAAGATCTCGATAACGCAAATTAAAAGTGAAACGTAAAATCATTCATATTAAATTTCTTCGCTACGCTACATAAATTTGCAACACATTTATTTTTGTCGGGGGATAATTTTCATTTGACTAGACCTAATCACGATAAAAGGATGGTTAATTTTCTGATTTACGAGACACAAAAGCGATATTGGTTACAGACGTGGTATTCATTCAGGTATTATTTACCAATTATCTACTGTCGGCATATTGTGAAGCGACCCCTCGCGATCGGTGCATGACGATATTGGAGATATATATTCGACACTTCGAGATTTTTAACAATGTTTTTGAGACTTAAATTAGATCTTTATAGGAAAAATAGCTGATAATCTATGTTTTCGTTTTCTTTTATATTTAAATATAAATTAGTATTGACTATAATTATTAAAGATGCCATGAAGATTTTAGTTTCTAAACAGAGAAGGCAGAAGCATTTTCGTTGACTTGGTATTTAGAAAATTGACTTTAAGTAATTCTTAATTTAAATTGTCCGAATGCAAATCCAGATGGAACTTATGTTATTAAATACCTTTTATTTCCGATTCTTTAGTTCAGATATTAAACCTATTTTCAAATTTTAAGCGAGATTACTGTCGCCTTTATAATTAGTTATTTGTCCTTTTGTTCTATTTGTTAGTTTTGTATAATATTTGATTTGTGTAACAACTAACACACGAACTTATCAGATCCTGTTACACAAATGAAATAATTAGTCTGAATGTATTTAGTTACACAAAGTCTCATACAAAACTTCTAGGTTTCTGCGGCTCCTGTATTCAACAAGTCACGGGCCAGACTGTAATATTACATAGGAATAAACATATCCGTGACAACACACCCCTTAAAGGCCCAGGACACCCAGGTTTAGATTTCATTTAAAATGTAAACTTTGAAGGCAGCAAATCAATATGAGTGGGTAAATGGATCGTTGATGAAGCTTAAGCGAGATCTAATAAACAAACTATAAGTGATATCTAAACAAACTGAGACCAATTTCAATCAAGATGCATTAAGGGATGACAATGGCGAGCATACGGTGTGTGTAAATTGTGTAAAGCGACTGTTCTACCACTCTTGTTGAGCTTTGTTTAACGAACGACGGCACACGAATTTTCATCAGCTTAAATTAGCGTTGATCTTTCATCGGTAATTGATTTTCAGTTTAACAGTGTTTATTTTCCCTTAATAAAAAAGGCGACAAGACTGCTGACAAAATTAACAATTAACCATATTTTAGTAGAACTAATAGCTCGTACCCGGATGCTGTAATGCGCGTTCATTTAGTTAGCTTAATGCCACTTAAAACGACTAACCTTATCAAAAGTTACATTAGTCGCCATCATATAGCTAATAACGATCTGTACGACCATGTCAATGGCTTCTTTTATTCTGCCCAGCGAACTCGTTAAAACCATAATGGCAACGTTAAGAGAAAGGTTTTAATTAATATTAACCGCTAAGTCCTAATCAATAAATTTCTTTTGTTAATTATTTTACTTAGCAAATTATTCAATCGTTTGAAACAGGAAATTTTGCCCATAATTTCTGGAATTAAAATACCTTCCTTCAGACCCACTTGATAACAAATTAAATTTAAGCGGATCAATTAATGCAAGGCCGTTAGCTAAGTGCTTTACTGTCTGATACATGCACTGAAACGTCAAAGATTGATGCAGCGCGTGTTTAATTATACGTCCGTTTAGATGTTTCGCTCGACGGACATTGTACTCGGTTTTCAATGAAATCTTTTTTTCAAGAGTTTGCTTAGAAAAGTTAATGCACGTAAAATATTACGAAAAGAAATATCAAGTGTACAGTATTATAAATCTTTTGTTCTTGTATTCTATTTTTTTTATTTAAAGTTGATTTTTTGCTTCCGATAATTCACCGAGAGACATTCGTTATGTTTCACTGTGGATGGGTGGGTCCTTCTTGGAATCAGTATGATAATTTGTCGTCAAATAAGTATAAGTAATAATCCTTTAGTGACTTTTAGGAACTGGATAGAGTAATAAACTATAACACATGGAAGAACAATTACTAATATAATATTTAGGCGAGGTTTCGAGGAGTATCAAGCTAATAACAATATAAGTATTATATTAAATACATACCTGTACCCGAGATTCAACAAGATCTAGTTTTAAGGCCAGTGCCTCTCTCATAAATACATCAGGATAATGACTGTCATTAAAGGCTTTTTCTAATTCTTCTAATTGCCACCCAGTAAAATTAGTTCTCGTTCGTCTTCGTTTAGCAGCTTGACTTTCTCTATCGTCATCTTTATAATCTGAAATAAGTTACGTTTTATTAAATAATTATGTTCAATTAAATATTTTCAATAATTGTCCATTGTTGCCTTGGTCTAAAAAAAAATAAATTGGCATTTGTGGTGATGCTTTTGAACAGAGTCATTTTTGAAACGTTATTCTGTTGGAATGTGGATTAAAGAGAGACAGTTTCCTTGTTTTATTATTCAATATAAGATATGCACATATATTTATTACACAGAACTGTTCGTAATTATTCATAATATGCAATGATAATTTTTAAGAATAAAATTTAAAGCACATAATATTGAGATGTTAATTCCGGTATGCACAGACGAATTTAAAAATCATAATCAACTCTTAGCAAAGTGATCGACATAAATGCAAGAAGAAAGTGGTTATTATTTTGGAGAAATAAATAAAGCTAATTATTATGATCAAAAGAAGTTATGACGAACACATATAAAACAAAGGAAAATAAGTCATTTGTATCATTCCTTAACGTTTTATTAGTTTGAGTACGCAGTATGATGTCACTCCTTTTTAACAAATTGATTTACATACTATATTTCAAAGGAATATATTATATATATTTGACATGTTCTTTCTTTGAAGAAAAATAATTATTTACCATTGTCAATATACAAAACGACAACAAATGAATATCGTTTTTTTAAGCAAGGAATAAATCAACATTTATTCACACTTAATGTTTAAAAATGTATAAAATTTTTCATAAATTTCTTTTTATCTAAATTACGACCATTTTTAAATTCAATATCTACCAGTGTATACCTGATACCCACGGCAATACCATTATAAACTATCAGCCACATGATGCCCTCGAATACAAAACCAATACGGGAATATATCAGGTTTTTTTAGAATTGCATGGGTATGCAATTAATAATAATTAAAATGATTTATTATGTATCTATATAATTGATTCGTATATTATTAGTTTATACTTATTGAAACAATAAACAAAGTACGTGTATGCTTGTATTTTTATATGAATATAATTTGTTTTGTAATAGATCTTATTGACATACGACGACATTGTCACGTTATTATTTTTGATATTGAATAAAAAGAAACAGTAGCCCCTATTCTTTCTTGTATAATAAAACAATTACAGGTCAAATTAATGTGGTAGCAATAATTATGTGTATATTCACCGGGTCTATTTTAGGAAAGTAATTTATTTTCTTATCAAAAGACCTAGTGTTTTTATTTTATTTACAAGAATGACTTTTATTACAATATTCAAATTTTAATTACACATTAAGCTATATCGAACATGTCACAGAAACATTGAATTTAATTTACTTAGAATTATTTCTTTGCATAATAATGACTGTTTTATTATCTGAATAATAATAAGTTAAATATGGAATATATATATGTAACTTCGACTCACCTCTATTGTTGCCTCTGGATTCACAGTCCGAATGTCCATCAGTAGAATCAGGAGTCCGGCGATCATCTTTTGCATTTTTCAAAATTTTATCCATGGAAAAATTAAGTGGTCCATGATGGTAAAACGCTGGATTCACGGTAACACTACAGTCCAAGGCTCGTAATTGTTCTGGAGACGGTGCACGTAAGGCCGTGAACGGTGACACAAAATGCGGGTAGCCCGACATGGCCGAAATAGCCGCATAACTCTGACTGAGATGTGACTCTAAGAGACTCATTTGTAAATTCATGGCATCAACGCTAACATGATGTGAAATATTTGTCAACATCGCTTCTCTAACACTCGCCGATTTGAGATGAAGATTTCTCCCTCATCACGGTACCTATGAATGATTTGGAGAGAACAATCAATAGGCTATTTCGACCAATCAGAGCTCTAGTAGGCGGAGAAAATGTCGGTTTTCCCCGCCGGCATTTAACAATATCGTTCACCGAGAAGCAAAACAAAAGCAAATGAAGCGAGAGAACTTGATTAATGGGAAGGTAATACCAGGCTAGGTTTAGAGGCTAGTTTCAGTCCGTAGGCTATTTGGAGACGATTAATAGATTTAACACACAACTTGGCAGAAAAAAGTCATCGCTGTGATCAATCTATTTCTTTTTGACGTCTTCACAATATTGTCTAATTGTCTAACACTTTTTACAATGGACTTAACAGTATGATGAGATGAAATCCGTTAACTTAATATACTGATGTTCTTAATAAACCCATCGACCACCATCTCTCTGTAAACAAGTCATTTAGAATTGTACAGAAAACTGTGTTTACAGAATCTGATCTAATACAACGGAAGGAAGCAACAGATCAATCTGAAAGAGAAAAAAACATTAGTCTTACACAAGTATGCCTCGAAGCACGACATAAGAGAAACAACGAGTGATTGACGCCTAAATCGTATAAACACTTTACGTGCCTTGTAATGTTAGATCTATACACCATGATCGTACAGAAGGAGATTCTTCTATCATTGAAAACTTTGCTAAAACAAAAGACCATTTACGCCAGCGATCCAAGTATAATTGAATATTGTGTCAAATAACTTTCAACAAAGAAAAGATAGATTTTACTTAGGTGTAAATTCAATAATTAAGTTCGTTTCTGGAAGGAAATCAATGCACGAATCGTAAGATTTCTGAACTTATCCTATCCACTCAGCTTTATTTCTCTAAGACTAAATAGCCCTAGAGCAATATCTTAATTCCTTGTAAATGGTTTTTCAATGGGGAATTAGATTTGAAAAACAGACGATTATAGAAATAATATTGTGAATTTGTGAGGTGTCATTATTAGACAGAAATACATTAAAGGCATCAATTTCTGATTTAAGTAAATATCGTCTTGGTTCCAGAAACCAATCTCCTAGGATAAGGGTCTTCTGTTATTTCTGTCATGATGATAGGAATAAAAGCCATTAGCCATTCCTTATAACAATCTTTTTTTTAATCATAGACAATATAACTTAAAAGCATTATATATTAAATGTCAATTTAAATATTAGCAATGTGACAAGAAAAGTAGAATATATACTAATAGAATAGTTTAATATGAAATATATAATACAATAATAAAAATTGTGGTAAATAAATTTAAAGTACAGTATTAGTTTTAATTAATACATTTATTCTCCTAGAAAAGGACTAGTATGCAACCAACGTGATATAATGTAATGTGTTTATATAATAAAGTATGTTATGAAATAATTATGAATTAACACCATTAGTAAAATTACAATTACTTACTACAATGCAATATAGTATAAATTTACTAAGATGAAATCACTTTAATAGGACATACTATAATAGAATAAAGCACAAACCTACATAGTATAAACTTTCAATAATAAACATAACGTCCGATAATTAAACATACAGAGTAGTATAAACATCGTATAATAAAACATAGTGTAAACTTACTAAGAAACACAGAATAAACTTAATATAATAAAATATAGTATAAACTTCCAATAATAAAACATAGTATTGAATTACAATAATAATTATACTACTATAATTAAATAAAAACATATACTGCATAAATTATAGTAGCATTGAATATATATACATTTTCATGTAGCATAAAATAACTACAATAAATTATATTTAAAAAAATAACTGCAATAAAATATAGTAGAAAATAACTACAATAAAATATAGTAGAAAATAACTGCAATAAAATATAGTAGAAAATAACTGCAATAAAATATAATAGAACATAACTGCAATAAAAATGTAGTAGACAATTACTCCAATAAATGGAATGAAATGAAATGGGGTTTAACGTCCTACTGTTCTGCTCCTACTGGGCTAATGAAGACGGAACTCCAATAAAATATACTAGAAAAGAATTATCACATAAATAACAGTAAGATATTTAAAGAAGGGATTTTGACAATTCAAACTAATTATTAACCGTAAAAAAAGAATATTATAGAATGACATACAGTAAGTATAACATGATAACACAACATAAACAACTATCATAGTGTATAATAATCATAATAGAATAATATATACGTAGTATCAAATAATTATTATACAACAGTTCAAGATAACTGTAATGGACTAGCTTAAAATAAACAATGTACAAAATAACTACATTATATTTATTTAATAATAGATCTGTGTATAATACATAGCTCAAACTTGAAACAAAACTATGTATAATACACAGCTAACTCAAACTTGAAACACAACTCTATATAAAACACAGCTAGCTCGAACTTGAAACACAGCTATGCATAATACATAGCTCAAAAACACGATAAACACTGCGTTGGGTTCAAAATATAAGATATGTCTGCTCCCCGTTACCCATTCTCTATCACCAACACCCATCTGAATAATGGGATCAGAACGTCACGGTGGCAATTGTTCTAGACCACTGAATAACGTATTGTGTTTTTTTTTTAAAGATTGCTATAACAAAATATGCTAAATGACCACGTGTATTATGTAGATTAAAGGGGATTCATGATATAGGTTTTTAAAGAAATTTCTTGAATTATCTGTAACAAAAAACTCATTTTTTTTTTAAATTTGTCAATATTGTGTCAGTGAGATAATAATAATATTGAAAACAAATTCTGTTGTGATTAGAATGGGATTAAGAAGGAAGTATTGTTATAATTACCTATTGTCCTAATATGTCTATTTCACGTCAATAATATTTGGGTGTCAGTGAGGAACTACTTCCTATCATAAAATATAAACCCCAAAATCCTTGTCATTTATTTATTTATGAGTTGTATTGAGAAATCGTGTCAGCATCGTATCATGATCAATCAGGTAGGCGACCAGTACATTTATTCAAATCTAGGAATTATTTTTTCATATAAAAATATATTTAAATTAAAACGAATTATTTTAAGAATTTGTAGACTATTGTATCAATAATAACCTTTTCTAATGTATTTCAGTGCACATCGATTCTAGTACGAAAGGTCAACTGCAGCTGAATCCTCCCTGGCAAGTAAGATGTTTTATAAAATTAGAATGAAAAGTTTAAGTGTTGGGTCTGTTTGATTGGTCAATATCCGAATCCGAAATCTGGGTATTTTTCACTTTCGTATTAAAACCCATGCGTTACATTCATATAATGAAACATCAAAAATTGCAGTAGATTTCAAATTGAGCTAGAAACAGAATCAGCAGATGTTTATCGTTAAACAAATCAGAATTCGGACCCACGTCAATTGCATGCTATACAGTACTACAGTTTGCTAATCAGTTTTGTTTCACATTAAATACATATCTAAATTCACTTTGGAATGAATAGCGGTATCTCGCTTTAACATTCATGCCCAGTATATGCCGGTTGTTTGGTGGATGAGCGAGGGTGGGGAAGTATGTAATCTTTACGTGCAATAAAGATACAACTGATACGGATATTGCACTACGTTTCACAGTAGGTGTATTTATTATTACAAAGTTAAACAAATTACCGAACTATATTTTTTGGGGAAACCACTCAAAGTAAAATTGATGTAAACTAATGACTGTAAAGAACAATTATATATTACAGTGCGTCTCTTTTCACTTAAAATTAGTCCGCCGTAATTTGACTGATATGCATTTTGAAAAACAAAATATAAAAGAGTTTATTTTAGAGAATAAATTGAACAGAAATAGTAATTTTACTGATTTAGAAATATTTTATAGTTGGTTTATTAATGTATGATATATCATACACACACACATATATATATCAATAATGGATCAAACGAATAGCTAATCACATAACATTATATACTATCGATAATTTGTGATCATATTTGCATTACGTACTGTTTCATAAACAATGTATTACAATGAGATATATTATATATCTACCTTTTATCAGTGTCATAACTAACTAATCGTCCATGTCATAATCATCATAACGCCTATTATTAAAATGTATAAAATATGTCATTTCTGATTGTCAATCATCTTATAGATAGAAATATTAACCCTACTGATGGCCGAACGCAAAATCAATCATCACGTGACACGCAAGAAATGATAACGTCAGCCGGACACATGTCATAATGTAGCGTTAAATGGATGTCAACATGACATGGATATGTATCTGTATTGTATTAAGATATTTAACATATCAATCATCAATATTCACTATATAATATCCTCTACAAAATTATAGTTCAAATCTTTACACGAATAAGATCTGTTCGGTTTGGTAATTAACTTCCCCCACAATTTCGAGATAAGACAATACCCTTTCAATAATCGATAAGCACACAAATCGATTACAAAGTGAATTTGCAAAACATAATTTCGGATTAAAAGTTTTTAATTTTATTTTCAAATAATTATATAATTGACATTTGGTTTGGTAGTGTCAATTCGAAGTCAATATCAGCAAGACAATTTATATTGCCATTTTAAATGACCACCTCTTTGATTTGGACACAGCCCCCACCCGTAAAAAAGAAGAAACAAGTTTTGGATTTCATTGTGTTTAATGTGTTGATTTGTTTAGTGGGATGAAAATAAAATTGTAAAAGCCAGATGTAACCGTAAACCAAATATGAAACTAAATTTAGTAAACAAAGCGACATCCTCTTAATTGTTTGAAACAAAAATGTAATTATATAAAGCATGTCCCATCATAAATCCAAATAACTCATCAGATCAACCCATTTTAATACTTTTTTTAAAATTTAAATCAAAGAGGCTTATTTCCTCCAAGACTCGTCTGTAAGTCTTGAAAAATCATGCACATGCACCTCAAATCCGCCTACCCAATTTCTCCGTTTAGTATAGCATTATAGCTGATTATGAGATTACAGAAAGGGTTTATAATTTCTGATCTATTACAATTCACATCTATAATTCAC